TATAGCTATAAAATCTAGGGTTAATTAAAGCTCTGTCGTCTTAAATAGATTAGTTTAGCGAGCTTTTACTAGTACCTTTTATTAGCTTATAATTTAAGCCTTAGTTTTCGTATAATTAACGCTCTTTAATACTAATTTATATTTTATTAAAATCTCTCTTTTATATTTCTATAATATAGGTTATAGCTAGGCTTATAGTAGCTTTAATTATCTTAAAACGCTATCTTTAACAGCTATTATATTATAATAACTACTAATAATCTTTATAATAAATTACTAGGTAATTAAAAGTACTTTTTATTACCTTTAATAGGCTTAAATATTAACTTAATAATTGTTTTTAAGGGATTTAAGCCTCTTAAATTAAGCCTTATTAAGGTCTATAATTATTATAGCTTTAGGGTTAATATTACTAGGTTAGGGTTTTTTTAAAGGGATAATAGCTGCCTTATTAGGCTATTAAGGGTTAATTAAATACTAAATACCCTAATTAATAGCGTACTTTTTAACGATAGAAATCTACTAAAACCAGTTACCTAAACCTATTAGGGTTATTAATAAAGGACCTTTAATATCTATAGTTAGGTTAGTTAAGTCTTTTATTGAAGACCTTAGATGTGTTGCAATTTAATGTTGGAATATCTTAAATTTGGTGGCAAACCCGGGCTCATAACTATCACGTTGATAGCTATGGAAGCAGATTGAAGAGTGGAATTTCTGTGGTTGAATTTGATGAATTTGGCCTTGATAGAAGGTTTTTTCATCAAAGGTCACATCTCTGACCCGTCTGACTTCCGATTTTGATGGAATCCATATGCGGAAGATGTTGGTCGAGTCGTATCCAACAAGGTAGCCGATTTCTGCGTGGGCCGCTGGAAATCTAAGCCACAACAGCGCGAATTTCCGACCCATATCGAGTCCGGCGACGACAGCGATACCTATCACGTTGACAGCTATGGAAGCAGATTGAAGAGTGGAATTGTCCTTTCATTTCCGGGTTTTCCTGCTGCTTTTGATCAATTTGATCAGAAGCCCGTTGACGGGCTCGATCGACTTTTGCCTTGATGGACGGGTCACCGTCCAATAGCTTCTGTTGAATTTGAGCTTTAATTTCGGCGTCGGGCTTCCATGTTGGGTCTCTGAGAGGCTCGTTGAGGTACAGACACTGACGATAGTAGTGTTTTTGACCACAGAGGCAATTTAGAGCCGTCTTTGACCTTTTTTACTGACTGTTTTTAGGTTAGCTAGGTGCCTGCGATGAATTTGGGGTCTCTGAAATTGTCGGATTTGGGTTAAAAGGCATCGCGTTTTCGGGCCAATTTCAATAACAACGAAGTGTTCTTTAAAATGAAGGCCCTCATCAACAAGGTCCTCCACAAGATGAAGGCCTTCTGCGAGCGCCAGGGAAATCTAAGCCACAACAGCTCGAATTTCCGACCCATATCGAGTCCGACAACGACAGCGATACCGACGAGTAGGGTGTAAAAGGTCCACGGGTACCCGTGTGGGTTGCTTACCCGTGGGCTTTAAGTAGGTATAGGTAGGAAAAAAAGACCTAAATAGATTTATAAGGGAAAATAGGTTACTTATAATTATTTATTAGAAATATTAGGTATTTTTAAGTACTTAAATAAGACTTATATAACTTATTTTATACTTTAAAAACTTAAGACTTATTATAAATATAATTAAATATTAAAGAGTTAACGTTAATTATTATAATTAATTACTATAATTAATTTAAGAAAATTAATTTATATTATTATATTATATTATTATATATTTTATAAGTATTGTCTTTAAGGGTTAACGTTAATTATTATAATAAATACTATAATTAATTTATTTATTTAATTTACATTATTATATTATATTATTATACGTTTATAGGTATCCATAGGGTACCCATCTTTATATTAGGTTACCCGTGGTATACCTAAATTACCTACATGATAAAATGGGTAGCCCACGAATAACCCAAGAAAAACTTGGATACCCACGGGTGCCCACGGGTACCCGTTTTTACACTCTACCGACGAGGTACGGTCCGTCATTGAAGTCAACACTCAAGGCCTCCAAGCTGGTCAGGAAGGAAGCCAGTCACCCGATCCCGACATTTTCAGAGACCCCAAATTCATCGCAGGCACCTAGCTAACCTAAAAACAATCAGCAAAAAAGGTCAAAGACGGCTCTAAATTGCCTCTACGGTCAAAAACACTACTATCGTCAGTGTCTGTACCTCAACGAGCCTCTCAGAGACCCAACATGGAAGCCCGACGCCGAAATTAAAGCTCAAATTCAACAGAAGCTATTGGACGGTGACCCGTCCATCAAGGCAAAAGTCGATCGAGCCCGTCAACGGGCTTCTGATCAAATTGATCAAAAGCAGCAGGAAAACCCGGAAATGAAAGGACAATTCCACTCTTCAATCTGCTTCCATAGCTGTCAACGTGATAGGTATCGCTGTCGTCGTCGGACTCGATATGGGTCGGAAATTCGAGCTGTTGTGGCTTAGATTTCCAGCGGCCCACGCAGAAATCGGCTACCTTGTTGGATACGACTCGACCAACATCTTCCGCATATGGATTCCATCAAAATCGGAAGTCAGACGGGTCAGAGATGTGACCTTTGATGAAAAAACCTTCTATCAAGGCCAAATTCATCAAATTCAACCACAGAAATTCCACTCTTCAATCTGCTTCCATAGCTGTCAACGTGATAGGTATCGCTGTCGTCGTCGGACTCGATATGGGTCGGAAATTCGAGCTGTTGTGGCTTAGATTTCCAGCGGCCCACGCAGAAATCGGCTACCTTGTTGGATACGACTCGACCAACATCTTCCGCATATGGATTCCATCAAAATCGGAAGTCAGACGGGTCAGAGATGTGACCTTTGATGAAAAAACCTTCTATCAAGGCCAAATTCATCAAATTCAACCACAGAAATTCCGAACCAATCCAGCCCTCCCAAAGCACACAGTTGCACAAAACCTACTGACTAACCCCAGTCTCATTCATTCGGCAAGCCCATCAGCGAGGCATTTCTTCAATGCGGGGTCCACTCTTCCAAAGTAATCTGCAAATGACAGCATTAGACGACGTTTAGATGACATGGCTGGTCGGTAGTTTTGACTGACCTAAGACTTCCCTCTTTAGGTTGCTTGGGATATCTCGTAGCGTGGGGATTATGCTATGAAGGAGTTGTTCTTTTCCATTTGGCTCCTTGCACATGATCTCCCACAGTTTGCGAGGTTGCTCAAAATCTTTGTCAGTGAGCGAGGTAGAAAAGCAAGTCACATTCCCCGTCCACATTTCATGAACCGGCATCTGAATTCTGTTGCTCTGAGACACTGGGCGAAGCTCCGAGAAAACGTAATCGGGATCACCTCCGTAGTTCCCATTCATAGTTCCGGGTCCATCCCGTACATATGGAGCGTACACCTTGTTAATTGGCCGGTTCGGTGGAAGTTGGAAGTAGTTTGGTCCTACGCGATAGCGGTGCGCGTCCGGGTAGCTAAACATTCTTGCTTGCAGAACTGAGTTGACACATCAATTAGATTTGCCCCTTCTGGATAAGAGTTTTGCTGAAAGCACCAACCTGGATCCGCGGAAGGTCCGATACCGGGGACCATGTTGGACGGCGAGAAACAAGCCTGCTCAATATCCTGAAAATAATTGTTCGGCTGCATATACTCATTAGTTTACGGCTACAATGTATCATGGGCATCGTTATACACACATTCTTGTTGAGGGTTAAACGGCCGACACGACGCAATGGATAACTTTCATAAGGCCAGGTATAGGTGCAATCAAAGATGTCGATCGGTGCCGCCTTCACCTCCTCGGGCTTGATAACCTGCACGTATACCGTCCAGGTCGGGAAATTTCCGCCCTCAATAGTATTGAAAAGATCCTTGACGTGATAATCAGGCTCTGATCCTGCCAATCGGGCCGCGGTGTCTGCGTCCATGGTCTTGATGCCGTCGTCGGGTTTGAAATGCCACTTGACGTAGACATAGCTTCCATCCTAGCATTTGTCAGTCGTTGCAATAAATCTTGTGTTTATAGTAGCTCACGGCTTTATTCAAAGTGTAGGTATGGACACTGAAACCATTGATATTTCTCAACGAAGCCGGAATACCGCGCTGTCCAAATAGGTGCATGAGAGCATGGATACCCTCAGGGTTGTTCTTATGAAAGTCCCAAAACATGGTGTTATCCGGCACATTTGTCTGAGGATGCCTTTTGTGACTCCGATTCATGGAGGGGAGTTTGATGGGATCACGGATGAAGAAGACGGGCAGATCGTTAAATACAAAGTCTTGCACGCCCTCCTCGGTATAGAACTTTGTGGCCCAGCCCCGAACATCGCGAACGGTGTCACTAGATCCTTTTTCTCCACCAACGGTTGAGATGCGGGCCAAGATTGGAGTTTTCTTGCCAATTCCTGTGAGGAATTTGGCATCGGTCAAGTCAGATACGTCTTCGAGAACTTCAAACTCGCCAAAGGCGCCGGCGGCTTTTGCATGAACACTCCTATTCCAATGATGAGTCTGAGAGAGTCTGGTGTGTTTGCCATATCTAAGAGGTCCCCTTACCGTTCTGGGATGCGCTCCCGTGCAAAATGCGCAAGCACTTCAATGGTTTGGGTATCAGCCAAGGTGACTAGGCCGCCATTGCTGTTACCGTATCGAATCTGGTGGACAGACCCCGGACTTGGGCTCGGTTGACCTGTGATGATGATTGGTGCCAGACTGTCAGTCTCCCATCCAAGCAAGCTTGCAGGAAAAGCAATGCCCAAGACACAGGAAGGCAAGGAGCCCAATGAATGCCTTACCATTGGCCAGTGTGTATACAGGGTTGAAGGCAGACTATATATGTGAGCGGATAATTCATTTCACCAAACAGCCTCGAGAGTGTGAGCTGACCATGATGATTGTTGATATACAGAATATCTCTGCAGAGAGAACAAGAAGGGATGAGAGCTTCATATCGTTGCCTTTTATATTCACCGCGGGCCAGGATTTCAAGCCGTGTGGCACTCGACTCCTGACCCCAATACAACAGAGCGGTAGTTGCCATGATCTCCAGTTTAAGCCTTGATAATGGTAGATGGGCAAGCCAGTTTTGCCCACCCTTCCGATACATCCGACCCTCTTGTGAAGCGAGATGCACGTTTTCCAATAGCTTCGCAGGACAAGACGGTAGTCAAACCAATCCGGCGCATCACAAACGCGGGCTTTATCACGCCACATGATGCGGGGCAAAGTATATCACAAATTCATCGTTGCCTACTGGACCGATTGTCCTTCCTCTTTGAGCGCCCTGCATAACGATTTCTAGAGGGGAGTCTCGGCCGCCATTGGTGTGAGAATCAGGTATAAGTGCTTCTCCATCAGCTTTCCCCTCCGCGGCCCAGATGTTGAGAAGTTTGAACCGATACCATACTCGTCTGTTACAATGCCTCCCAAGCCTACGAAAGCTGCTCCCGCCGAAATGAAGACGACGAATCGTCCCGACGAGTGGATGATTGAGCAGGGGCTGTCGGGAGCTGTGCTCCCGGCCCTGGATATGACCAAGCCCCAGACCGAAGCTCTTCCCATCCAGACCTTTGGCCCACTGACCAAAGATGAGAAGGCTATCAAGGCCGTGGGAGACCCAAACAAGCTATTTGCCATGGAGAGAAAGGGCTGGACTGGGTACGTGTGACTCCGATCAAGACCGGAAGCGTGCGTGTAGCCGTCCTCACTGATTATATGACTTGTTCAAAGCTTTGTCGAGTGGGAGAACTATCCTGAGAAAAAGGCCGCTGCGCACAAGATCTTGACGTCCCAGACATTCCCACCAAATCCAGAGTTCCAGCTTGGTCCCATCTCGGGCACGAACCCCGTTCTTCCTGGCACGCACTGGAAAATGTGGCATCACGCCGTCGGCGGCGAGCTGACCAAGATTCCAGAGGACTCCTGGGCTACCGTCCTCAGGGAGAAGCACCCCGACATGCTGCATCTTCTTCAATTTCCATACAATGGGGAGCCTCCCAAGCGTCTCGTCACAGCCAAAGAAATCACCCCCAATTCACTTCATTTTGTGAGAAACCACGGCGGTATCCCATTGATCGACAAGGAGCACTACAGCTTCCTTCTCGACGGCCTCGTCGCAAAGCCAAAGGAGTTCACTTTGGACGACCTTATGGACGAGAACAGATTTCCACGAATGGAAAAGACCATTACCATTCAGTGCTCAGGTACGCGTCGTATTGAGCAGATTCTCAAGTATCCCGGTCAGGGCGACGAGGTTCCGCAGGCTCCTTGGGCAGAGGGTGCCATTGGCACCGCCAAATATGTCGGCGTCAGTCTGAAGAGGGTCATCAAGGAATGTGGAGGCTTAACCGACGGTGCAAAGCACTTGGAGTTCTACGGCGCCGATACCTACTTCAAGGATGACAAGACGATGAATTACCTCGTCAGTGTCCCATGGTCCAAGGTGAAAGCAAACGAGGTAATGCTTGCATGGGAAATGAATGGACAAGTCCTTCCCGCAATCCATGGATACCCCCTTCGTATTGTTGTTTTCGGCTACATCGGGGCCAGAAGCGTCAAGTGGCTTTATCGCATCAAGGCCATCAAGGAGCCCTCGCGGGCACCAGTCCAGAGCCAGGAGTACCTCTACTTCCCACAACAGGTAGGAAAGCACAACTTTAAGATGACCGATGGAATCCAGATTCAGGAGATGCCGGTGAGCTCTGCCATCATGTCCCCATGGACCAAACAGGTGTGTATCCACAACGGCAAGATTCGCTGCAAGGGCTGGGCCTACTCTGGTGGTGGCCGGTGGCCGGAGCGAGTTGAACTTTCAAACGACGGTGGCTTCAATTGGTACATGGTTCCCCTCAAGAACCTTTCCAAGAAGCGGAGATGGACATGGCGTACCTGGGAGTTTGACCTCCCATGTGACGTCGAGGGTTGGGTCGAGATTGTCTGCCGCTGTTGGGACAACGCGCTGAACACGCAACCCCCTAATGTTCGTACAGCCTGGAACTGGGGCTTACACGTCACAAGCTCTTGCCATCGCATCTCGGTGTACAGTGTCAACAAGTCTAGGCCACTCACCAAGGCTCGGCTTGATGAGTTCGAGCAGAAAGGCATTCCGTTTGCCCCCCTTACCGTGCCTCTCCCATTCCCGTCTCAAACATGGGAAGATTATGAAAAGTTCTGGCGAAACAATGACCCCCGTGATGCCGAAGATGACTAATGGGAATCATAAATGTTGCAATGAGAATACACTCTCCTGGATGGTGTTGTTGGATGAAAAGGGTGATATTCAGAGGCTGCTCATGACAGTTGCTTTTTCTACGTCTCAAATTAGGGCTGGGATTGAGGGTCACGGCAGGGGTATTCAGGGGCTCCAACAAGGTATCAAAAGGGCCAATTCTCAGAGTTTTCAATGTATTCAGTAAGGTTTTCAATTCATCACCAATCTCATCAAATTCGTTCAATTGAGGCCTCCAAAAGCCTCCCCAATAACTGCCTTTTCGGCTGTGTAAATTTCTGTTGTAATTGCAACAAGTGCATTCAAAATTCAAGATGAATGAAACTTGAGTGAGCTGTAGTTCTTCCGTTAGTTCAAGTTATTACAGCACTTTATATGCTGCCTCGGACCTCCTTCTACTTCAGTGCTTCCCTCATTCTGTCATTCCTGCTGCAGTATGCGTTCAAGTTTCTGCCATTTACGAATAGTTTTTCTTCCGCATCTCAATTAGAGGCGTCTCTAAATATTGTTTTCCGTTCATGCGTTGGCAGAAAACACCACAGGATCTGCATCTATTATGACGAAAATTCACAGCCTTCTACATCACCACCTCCTCATGGCCTAAAAAGGGGAGTCAAGATGCCAGGCGTAGTCAATACAGCATTTGTCTGGATAATTCTCGCAGTAAGTCCTCTAGCTCAAACATCACCATTGAACTGCTGATGTAGAATTCCGTACGGGTACCAGGCCTCTATTAGCGATGTATCAATAAGTCACAGCCATTCCTAATTTCCCATATACGAAGGAGATCCTATGCAAACGAGAGTTTTGGAGCTAAATGAGGCATCGGATGAAATTTTAGTCGCCATATGACGTTAGATAAGATTATTATAAGGGTAGTTCTAGGCTGGCATTTTATTGACCATAGTCTATCAGCAACGAGCCAAGTGCGAGTAGGGTATGCCCCAGCCACAGATGATATATTAGAAAGTAGGTTTAATCTTCAATACAAAGGTTCGCTCATTAACAAGTACATCATCCCGGATGTGCATCTCGGATTGAGACGTTGCCTGGGGCTTTGTTAATGCAAACAGTGTCAAGCTAGACTGATGCATTGTTAGAAGTAGATCTAGTTGGCATGACAGCAAGCAGCCAACCATACAGGCAATAGGAAATCCATATGCACCGATTAGAAATCTGTCAATTATGGGAATCCTTTTACTCCAAAAGGCTGAGAAGTGGCTCAGCCCGATGATCTAGAGCGTTTGGATAAGAGGTGCCACCGTGGTGTCTACATATTGACACACTTGCAAGTATGACAAGACTTCAGCACTCTAAGCTTGGGGAGTTGATCACCCCCCTCTCATACTATTCCTGAGAGCTGCGATGTATATTACATCAATGCGACTGTGCATGGCAGGGACGAATGGAGCATGTTGCGTATGGAATCGTTTTTTCTTATGGCCTGACCGTCCTGTAGCTCACTGATCAACAAAGCTTGCGATTTACCGCTCCAAGGTTCATGAAACGATGCATCTCATGTCGCATTACGTCTTTCATTTTTTGTTTGTAATATAGGATCAAGAAAGTGATAAAAAGAGAAATCATTCTCATAAGAGCAGATTTTCAAACACAAATTTCTTAACTGACATGGTTTGCTAATACTAGAAAACCATCCATCTCGCGAGCCTACCCTATACCTCGCATCGCACCCTAAAACTAGCTGAAACTAGCGACTTGAACTCTCCTCTGAAATCTGGGACGGGGGTATTGTTTGTTTCCCAGTGCGGGCAAATGAGCAAGTTGAGATGATCAAACTTACCCCAGTTCAGCCAGCTGCATTCTGTCCACGTCGGCGGAATGGCTTCTCCTGTATTTTTCATCGTTGTGTTTGTGTCGGGAGCAAGCGAGCCAGGGTGGTAATCGGTAATCCGTGATCTTCCAAGCATGGGCTCAAAACGCCACAACAGGCTGGTTACTGCAAGGCAGAAATCGAATTGCTCAGAACATGAAGCCCATGGACCAGGTTAGTCACTCAATTAGTAGTACGGAGTACAGTTGACATGTCCGGTTGGCTGGGCATTTTTCTCGGGTGGAGTTATCACCATGCACGTCCTCGTCTTATGGCTGGACAAACTTTGCCCCTTCGATCTGCAGAGAAATTTCTCACCTGCACAATCGATTCCTGCTGCTGGCTTCGGGCTGGTGAGACACCGAGGACGAGCCATCAGATGGCACGCGCCGAATGATGCTCAGCATTGAACACACATTCTTCTAGAATGTGTTGGATCTGGATCTTGACCAGACCAGGCACCGGGGTTGGGAAATTTGACTGCCAACGCCGCTCAGGTCAACAAAAAGAAACGAGAAGCGCACGTTGTGCACCATGGTCTTGCATCGTCAGCCCTGGACGCAATCTCGCGCAACCTGGTTGCAAGCCCGTAAGCTACGGTCCCCGGTTACGTGATCTTGTTGCCGTGTGTCTCATAACGCGCCCTTAACGAGGGTGGGTTCAGCCCAGTCATGGCGAAATGCAACCCACGCCTCGAGTTTCACCGATTTAGCGGACTTTCAAACTCCGCTGTGTCCTGGCCAGATGATGTCTACAATGGGACGAAAACTAGGCATCTAGGGCTGCCATCAGCCCTAGCAAAGCAGGCCGCCCCTCCCGGAATCATCACGGGCGGAAGTCCGCTAGTGCAAAGGGACGTGATGTGCCTCTGGCCATCTCTCAGACATGGGCCTAAATTAGAAAAAGTACCTACGGATATCACTGAAAGGCTCTGATAACTGATTTGAGAGACTTCATCTCACGTCCAGCCCAAGCATGGAGGAGTTCCACAGGTGCGTTGAATGCTCGGTCTTCTCTGAACCCCGCAAGTCCGAAGGGGGGCTCCGCAAGCAACCAGACTTAATTTATCGGGCGACGTAGGACTAGGATCCATGCCTTGTGGGTAACGCTCTCACAAAACAAAGAGAAAAAAAAAAAGGAAATTCCGGTGTAAAGGTCAGAGTGCCCGTGGTACTTAACCGTCATGTTGGCGCCTACGTGTCAACGTGAGCCGTGTTTTGAGTCACCCGTCCCTGCCCTCGACGACGTCTGCTTTTCCCCTCCTCCTTTCACGAGGTAAAAGGCCTGGATAATTCACCCAACAACAGCGACAAGCGCTCGTAACCAAAAGCAAAGGCTTGGGAACAAGCACTTTATTCATCTTTACCGCGCCAAGATGGTCGCGTCCGAAAGCTCCACCGAAGTCACCTCCGTGTATTCCGGGCGCACGGGGAACAAGGAAACCGAACCCAGATTTCCAACAAATGCCGTCCCTTCTGACACGGTATCAGAGAAGCCAACCGCCTTGGCAAACGCGGGGGAAGATGGGGTTGCTCCGACCAAGGAAGTTGCCGATGCGGGCTCGACGTCAGATGCCAAGCCTGGGGAAGTCCAGGAAGATGAATCCGAGTATCCCGCCAAATGGCGATTGGGTCTAATTACTATTGCGCTCTGCCTGTCCGTGTTTTGCATGGCATTGGTATGTTCCCTCACCTCCCTCACGCGTCTAGTCTAAATTTCTTGTTGTAGGACAACACCATTATTGCCACCGCGATCCCTCGAATCACCGACCAGTTCCAAGCCATCGAAGACGTCGGCTGGTATGGCTCGGCCTACCTCCTCACGACGTGCGCTGTCCAGCTCATCTTTGGCAAGCTATACACCTTCTACTCGGTTAAATGGGTCTATCTCTTTGCCATCTTCCTCTTTGAACTTGGTTCCCTCGTCTGCGGTGCCACCCCCAACTCCGTGGGCCTCATTCTCGGCCGAGCCATTGCCGGCCTGGGCGCCGCTGGTGTCTTCTCCGGCGCCTTGCTGATTATCAACCGCTCTGTGCCCTTGCGCCAGCGTCCCATGTACATGGGCATTATTGGTTCCATGTACGGCATCGCCTCTGTGGCTGGGCCTCTTATGGGTGGCGCCTTTACCGATCACGTCACATGGCGATGGTGCTTTTATATCAACTTGCCCTTTGGAGGCGTCACCGTTGCCTTCATCATCGCCTTCTTGCGCCTCCCCAAGCCCAGGATTGCCAAGACGAAGCTGAGCTTCAAGGAGCAGCTCATGTCCTTTGACTTGCTCGGGACCTTCTTGTTCATCCCCGGCATCGTGTCCCTGCTGCTTGCCCTGCAGTGGGGTGGCACCAAGTATCCCTGGAAAGATGGCCGCATCATCGCCTTGTTTGTCGTCTTTGGCCTTCTCATCGCTGGCTTCTTGGCGGTCCAAGCCTGGTTAAAGGAAAAGGCCACTGTGCCCCCTCGAGTCTTCTTGAACCGCACAGTCTGGTCATGCGCAGTATTTGGTGCTTGCCTGGGTGCCGCCTTTTTCGTCATGGTGTACTACTTACCCATTTGGTTCCAAGCTGTCCAGGGCACAAGCGCCATCGACTCCGGCATCAAGAATCTGCCCATGATTCTGTCTCTGGTCATCTTCTCCCTCGTCTCCGGCGGCCTCGTCACCACCATCGGCTACTACGCTCCGTTCATGATTGCGTCGACCATTCTCATGTCTGTCGGTGCCGGCATGCTCTCTACCTTTGACGTCCACACCGGCCCTGCCCACTGGATCGGCTACCAGATCCTCTTTGGTATTGGTGTCGGTCTCGGCATGCAGCAGACCATGGTTGCTATCCAGGCCTCCCTCGACGGCGCCGATGTTGCCATTGGAACTGCCATCATCATCTTCTCCCAGACGCTCGGCGGCGCCTTGTTCATCTGTGTTGCCCAGAACGTTTTCCAGAACAAACTTGTTTCCAACGTGGCCGATGCGCGCATCCAAGGCCTCGATCCAGCAAGCGTCGTTTCCGTTGGTGCCACCCAGATTCGGAATCTGATACCCAAGGAATTTTTGCCTGTTGTTCTCGAGGCATACAACGGTGCCGTTACCAACACCTTTTACGTCTCCGCCGCCATGGCTGCCTTGTCCATTATTGGAGCCGCTTCTGTGCCGTGGAACTCTGTCAAGGGCAAGAAAATTGAGATGGCTGCTGCCTGAGGGCAGAAGTTATCCCGTGTATAATAGAAGACTAGACATGGATCGGCGTTTACGGTTTACTCCTTTCCTTGTCCCTCATTTGCTTCTTTAGCTGCGGGGGGTCGTTTCGTTCAATTCGCCAGCATATGGGATACATGGAATGATAAAGATAGATAATGGATTAGATAGGCTACTCTCTAATAGAGCATTCATACTTCTAGACTATGATTTCTTGCTTCATGTGGCAAGGGATGTGTATCCACGTGCCAACACGCCCCCCCGAGTGACGTTACAATACCCGCCTGGGCATCTTGGGGCTCTTGCATACAATTATCTACATGTGAACATTGCCCTACAAACTAAGAGTCCAGGTCGACCATTACCACGCTAACTTCTTGAGACCCAAGCTTCTCATTGAGCGTCGTAGACGTGGACAATGAATGCATCCGATCACAACGGTCTTTTTGTATAAACCCTCTCCAAATTCTCCTCGTTCTTGTCAGTGGTCAACAAGCATCGCTTCACGCAAGTGTGGAGCTTGTCGGTACTTTTGCTCCAACTTCAAGAGTAATTGAGGTACTCGGACGGAATATCTGGCCAGGCATCTACGCCGTCAAGGATAACCATCATCATACCTCCCATCATATGATTGTGAATATGGCAATGTAGTAACCATGCCCCAGGATTAGTAACGTGGTACCGTACAACAACCCAATTCACGGCAGCTGTGGTTGGCATGGAGACGAATGTATCCCGCTTCGGCGGATTCTTCAGGTTGAATTGATCCGGCATCTCCTTCATGGCCTCTTCTACCGACTCCCATCTGAATGGGCCCGTCCCTGAACCAATCTGGTACATCTTGACGCCATGTTTGTGGATGGGATGCGGCGGCATGGGGAATTCCGAGGCAAAAAAGACAAGATCCACCCACGTATCGTTCTTAGTCGTCATGATGGCATTTTTAAAATTGGTTGCATTTGGGCTGAACAAAAGCGGTTCAGGTGTCGTGTCCACAACTGCGGGCTTGAGACCCGTCGTGTTCATTGCCCAGAGATACGATAACCCGTCCAGCCTCATATGGAGAACATGAAGCTCGTCTGCCTTTTGGGCAACAGGATCAGCAGGGTATGGATACGCAATCGTCTGGTCGAACACCACAACCCCGGGAAATGCCGGGTTGCCAATGAGATCGATGTACTGCTTTGGTTCCCGTGTGCTGGCAACGACGCCCGGCACGTGAAGAATTGCATTTCCAATGATGGTTTGCGGTGCGCTGTTGGCGTGAAACCGGATCTGAAAGTCCCCCGGCCTGGTCGGCTTCACCAAAACAGAGTACCTCTGACCATTCGACATGCCAAGTGCTTGGACCTTTTGTGGTTCAATGTACGACCCGTCCATGGCGTACACCCACATGTCGTGGTCGTCGATTGCAACCACGCCGCTGACAAAGTTGACTGCGGCGACAATGTCTAGGGCGAGCCATTCGTTTCGACCAGGTAAATTCGCTTTAATGACTTCTGTATGGCCATTCGTTTCTTTGCAGCCTCGGTATATGGCTGCCGGCATCGCACTTGCATTGTACGTCGTGACATCGCCAGCAAAGGCAGCCAGGACAATAGGAGGCAGGCAACTAAAGGTTTATAAGCAAGAGTGAGACCTTGCTGCAGTCTCGATTGTGGCGTCGTCTTACCCCTTATCCGTCAGCTTTTGGCCCGGTACCAGGGCCAGGTCGCCCTTCTGAGCAGGACTCAGGTGTGACATGAGTTCATCCTCCGGCAGGCATCGAACTCTTCCTTTTCCATTGAAGAGAATCGAGTCATAGCAAGTAATTTCGACGCCGGCTACCGGTGTTATGTCCTGTTTCTGCCGCGAGGTAATGTGCATATGGTCGTAGACAATAAGAGGGTGCACAGCCCGTTCGGCCTTTTCCATTCCTTCTATAGCACCTGGATCGTGGGATATCATATGGAATGGCTTCATGGTGCCTGGCCTAGGGTGAATCAGGATATGTCCATAGAGTCCGTCCTCAATTTGCCCCAGCGAATGGGAATGGTACCAGTGACTTCCATACTGCGTGGCTTGGAAAGTATAGGTGAAGTTGCGGCCTGGAGCAATTGGACGCTGTGATACTCCCGGTACACCGTCGGACCATGGCGTCTTGTCCATCTCAATTCCTTATAGAGAGCCACGGCGTTAATACATTGAGAGCGTTCAATGGGTTCGGTTTGTGGGCACATACCGTGAAAGTGTACCGTTGTGCTAAATGGCGACTTGTTCCATACCTTCACGACAACCCAATCGTCTTGCTCGACTTCAATCGCAGGTCCTGGGGATTTGCCATTGATCAGAAGCATTTGCCTCACCACACCATCTGGGGAATATTTTTGCCACGTCACCGTCATGTCAAACACCTTGGCCCTATTCAAGTCTGTCAGGTTAGGCAAGGCCCAAGCCACCAAGGGCGAAACAACCGCTATGACGGAGAGTAAAAGCATCACGGGTCATTTCTAGCAGTCGTGAATGCTCCGCGTCTCTTCGGGGGGCGAGAGCATGCCCTTTTGAATGAAGTCTCGGCATGTATTCCCCCAGAGACCTCGACAAGAGGTGTTTTACTCCCCAGAGCCAACAGCCCCATGTCGGGTGCGTTTTTCTCCTTTTCATCGTCTTCCTTTTCAGGAGGCGGAGTTATTGCGAGAAGGTTGTCAACAAAGTCATTGGTCCAATGTCATCCTTGCGGCCCAAAAAAATCTGAGTCGTTCATTTCCCGCATCAACCTTTAGCTTGGATCGTTGTACCAGCTAAGCAGATTCGGGATTGAAAAGTCCAATGATGGCCCTTCAGAAAACAAACCAAAAAGAGATGGCCAATCATTTAACATCCTGAAAAGAACCCAGATGCGCCAAGGGCCGGCTCAGTACAATGGGCTTGCATTCCTATTCGCGTTTGCCCTGAGCGCCAAGTTCCATGAGGACTTGTTCCGACTTGCGTCGCGAGCACGAGCAGCCACCTTCTGTGCAGCCAAGGGCAATGCTGAATGAAACAATTGGAGCTCATCGTGCCAGCGCATAATTCGCCGAATCCAGGCGCATTGTTTTGTATGAGGAGCAGCCTTGGATGTACAGTGGTCAGGCCAACAATGAGAAAACGCGCCACAGGAATTCATGCCGAGGAAACATCTACACGCGCGAATTTGGTTACACAGCTCGCACACGGACTCAGGTGCTTTTCTCAGCTTTGGCCTCGCTGACGCAGCATAGCATACCGCTTCTCCGCGGAAAACAGGGCGAAACAACAGAGCTGCACGATGACATATGTACAGGGCTGCAATGCTACTGCTGAGCCCTGAAAAAAGCCTCCGTTCACTTTCTCTTGCCCCATGTCATTATCGATACCTTGCTATACAAGGCCTCACTTCCGTTGCCAGAGATTGAATCGAGGGGCAGCCGGCCATTCAAGTTGATCCACGATAGCTGCCCATCATGGCACCTCAAAGTGACGATTTCAATCATTGGGACCTTGAGGCGTGTGCGGGACTCACGATTCTGCCATTGCAATCCGTGGTGATACATGGCGTGGTCGGCCAATTGTGAGTAAGAGGTCTCATTGCAGACGGTATGTGGCAAGATCAGCTGAGTTCAATATTTTGAGACACCTACTCCAACTGTAGAAAATCCCCGAAATGGAGGGTTACACCGAGGCTACATTTTCTTTTTAAAGCCTCGTGTGATCGTGTGCTCGCATGTTCGGCAACACGGATTCACCGGGCTTGGCAACTTGGGCAGATATTCCATGAATGCATGATGAAGTAGGGATCGGAACACGGCAGAAATGATTGATGTTTCCATTTTTATGCTGCATGTGCTGCGCCTTCAACGCAGTCCGCGTCATCTACTGGAGAGGTCCCCTGCGTACGTCACCATCCTGTCGCACCGTAGCCCATCGTTCCATGCTCTAGTTATCTAGGCCGGGACAGTTTTCGGAAACAATGTCTGTGATCTCGCTGTAGGGATAAGGGTCAATCCATATCTCATCGAATCGTTTCTTGGGATAGTCTTTGACGTTTTCGGCACCAAGCTCCTCAGCAATGTCCTTGAGAGCCTTGTGCTCCCAGCTGCGCAAACCCAAGTCAGCCAGCCAGTTGAGGCATCATCCAAGGCACAGGTTTTGGCCAGGCTTACCAGATCAGGATGTTCCCAGAGCCCTTGTAGTTTTTGACAACCTTCTTGACACACTTGCTGTCATTCCGGTCGCACGAGGTGTCAACCTCGAGGCCAAGGTCTTGCGCTAGTGGCGAGACAGTGTCGAATGGGCGTTTTCTCGAGCCGTCTAGATGCGCGCATTCCCCGTTAGCATGGCCAACGCTCCCTTGCGTACGGCGTGATGGGTGTGCGGCAGTTGTATGCGTACCTGGCTTGTAAGCCTGGGCCATGATATGGCCGACATGATAGTTGGAACCAGCTCCGAAGACTTCTCTCAAGCATTGGGCGCGCTGCTTTCCTTGGGTGCTCAATCCTGGCTCGTCATCATCCGCGGGTTTCTCGCCATGTCGGATCAAGAACACCATGGGTTCCGCCGCGACGACACCGGCAACCAGAGTAAGAATGTAGGCAAGCTTCATTTTGTCACATGGCTGTACTTCACTTCTCCACGAGTCAACATTTGTTCCTGGGAAGCGGCCGTCTGAGGACACTTATACCTCAGTTCTAGTGCCGACCAAGACATCCCAAGTTGAAGCCTCCCCCGCTAAAGCGTCAGAGTTTCGCATCGACCGGCTACTGATTCGTGCGGCTTGCCCCCCTCGGGTCAGCCCGATGGATTCAATGCGGTAAGATCAGCCAGGTATACAGCCACACCAGGCCTTTTTGGGGACCGATCCCGGTGCTGACCGAGCTGATCATGTAGCCTTGGGCGCTTGGAAGATGACAGCGGGGGTCCAGAAGATGGGAAGATTCGTCGATGTTTGATAAACGTACAGGCTGTATTACCTGCGCTGATACGGAGTAGCATGCGCTTTATTCCTCGGGGCAAGTTGGACCTCGCTTATACTTTCTAGGGTTGCAGTCATCTAGGTTGCATAGGACTATTGATTGAAGGGGCGTAACTATTTCAGCTTGTGTGCCAACACCTGTTCCTTTCCTCCGCTAACTGTTAGGATCTGAATGTCCTTACTTCAAAACGTTTGAGCAACTCCTCGTCGCCGACATCGCCACCTCTAATAAGCCACCGCCCTACGACCTGCGGAATGTTCCGTGCTGGAGCGGGTAGGACATGGCCAAGGTCATCAAGTTTCTCTTCCTTTGCTGCATCGCCATGGTCATCTTTTAGCGCCCTCACCATTTGGTCTCGGATAGCGTCCCAAGTCGTCAAGCGCATCGTCAGTTCACGCCCAAAGGCCACAGCCCCGACAGCCGGATCCAACGTCGCTCCAAATGGCGAGGTTCGGCCCCATGGCACCTTTGCATGCCCGGGGAGGGTGATTAGTTGGCAAGGGTTCTCCGACGCTCCGTATGGCTCTCGTCCAAAGCTCATGCCTCCACAATGTCGGGTTTGCGGCAACACAAAGTTGATTGTCTGCAGATTGGGCAAGCAGAGTCTCAGCGAGCGCAGAGCAGACTTCCACGTCTCCTGCATGCTCGCTTCTGACTGGAAGACTGGTACATCGCGGAACCACGCCCGCCATTCAACCCCTACATGCTTGACCTGCTCCAGGCCCTCGACGCGGTACACGGGATCCCCGCTTTGTCTTTGTATAAATCGTCGCTGGTTGCGGTCGATGTAGAGCATGTCCCGGTCGGCATTGAACCAGACATCTGGGCATTTTGGGAGAAAGAAGCCTCGGCGGAGGGCGGCAGCTCGCGACTCTCTGCACACTCGTGTAGCCACGGGATGTCGATGTGCTATGTGAAATGTGAAGCGCTTGACGGATGGCGGGCCTTGTCCCGGGTATATGGTGATGGAATCTCTGACGTGGAATAGGCGACCCGGCGGCAGGGTCGCTTCCCAGACGAGGTCACGGATTTCTAAAGGCAAGTCTTTGAACTGGGGAATCATGTTACTGACTCATATGCGATCATGTTTCTTCCATCCTCGCAACGTGCCGCCATTGTTGCTTGATCCGTATCGCAAGATTGGGTCGGTGAGCGTCGTGCCACACCAACCAGCGAATTGTTGAATCGGACGGCGGCTAGAATGCCACTTTGCCACGGCTTTGGCAAAGGTTTTCGATGTCGAAGATACGGAGGGCTTGAAGACAAAGTGCTGAGCTAGTTTGCCTTTGGCTCTTGTCCCCAATTTTGAATCGCAGGCACCTGGATTTCTAGTGGTCAGGAGCCGCGTCGTCCATGTACAGCTCCAGGCACCCAAGGTTGAACCAACCTTCGATTCATGGGTCCCAGGAGACTCCAACGAAAATGCGGATTCGCCTCTAGCTACGTGGTCGACACCCTGGCAGGCCATGTATGGTATGCGTGTCTCGAGCTCGTCCGTTTTGTTTTATCCACCCAGCCAGGACTGACTGGTTCCGCGAGTGAGCCATTGCCATGCATGATGAATGATGACAGAGCAAGGTCCCGACCCCAACTATGCGTAACCCGTTTGGCGCTCGTGAGCTATCTAGTATTCTTGGACGGGGTTGGGCTAAACAGACAGCTCTGTGATGCATAAATGGCTACTTCCGAGCTACACAAGTTCACGGTTTCCTTGGTACTTCGAATAATTCCCATTTATTCAGTACAACTGGCGCCATTATACTTGTTTTTTTCAACCACTATAATCGACAGTCACCTTGCATCGTTGAAAGTGACCACTTCCAATACTGCCTTGCGGCTTTAACAGTCTCCTACTTATGCTATTATCGCTCCTCACCTTCGGTCCACATGGCCAAAGCACTGCGTGCAGCAAGAAGAGGCGTGGCTTGACATTCCGACGACTGGGGAAGTGCTTCAGGCAGTGGAGGACCATCTTCGGAGACTTAGTACGTATGGTATCGCTGCTGGGTGTCTCTTCGTGACGTTCCGCTCCGTGAAGGGTGTCTCCGCCACTCATAAATGCTCTCTTCACTCCGACACCACCGCAAATAAGCGAGGGCTAGACCCTCGAGTTCTAAGAGTAACAGACTCTAGTAAGGTCAACTGGTGACTAGTAATGGTTAGAGGGATCGAAACAATGCCAGACGTAGGTGCGAATTGGCCTACTTGATATCTTTTTGCAAGATGAATAGGCGAGACGATAAGAAGCGCTGGATTAGGCGATGGATCCACGCTACTCACACAGGCCATCAACTTCCAATATCTCTATTCGCCCATAGCGTCCACAAGCAATCTACTAATGACTATAAGGCCCTACTTACTATTACCCTCGACTATAAGACTCAGCATTTGGCCTATTCTGATGCTTGGAAGTTATTAAAGGAGGAGGTAACAGGGTTGGTAATCAAAAAGAGAAATCCCTACCATTTGGTCAGATTTTGCCCCCAGGACATCAAGGATAATGCAGACACTTTTACTGCACTCTTTTGAGCGCTAGAAGACCGTGGCTTTAGGTATCGGCTATGTAGAGAAGATACAATTGAAGGTGGTATCGTTGTTGCCCGTAAACTGGTCCAAATTTTCTTCTACTGCAAGCAGGCAGTGCCTTCCGCCCAGCGATTTACCTCTAATGCAGTGTTCATTGTTGATGGCACCTTTAGAACTAACAAGCTAGAATTTCCTTTACTCGTGGCTATTGGTAAGACTAATACAAATAGGACGATGCCAGTAGCATTCTCGTGCACCAGTAGCGAGTCTGCCGGGTTATCTACCTGCTTCTTTGGTTGCATGCGTACGGAATTCTACTATAATGGCGTCTGTGAGCTTGCAGTAGTTATCGTTGACCACTCATCTGGAATGATTAGTGCCTACGATACCGGTAAGGCCTTAGCTCAGTCAGAACTTCTGATCTGCACCGGGCACGTCCAGACCGCCATGATTCGCTGGCTCGGTGACCATTAGTATACAAGAGAGGATATCGATGGCGACGAACTTGAGGGACTACCTGGATTAAGGTAGCTAATCGAGAATTCTATAATAAGATGACGGAAGAGGAGCATTGCTCGATGCCAGAGAAAGCTGTGCATATTGATCGACATGCATTTAAACTTCTTACTGGCGCAGTCAGCTTATACGCACTATCCTTGGTGGATGAGCAGTGGACTTAGCTCAAGAGGCTTGCTGGCGACGGTGAGAACACAGAATCTCGGCCTTGTCCGTGTGTTACGCGACAGCAGTGGCCTTTGCCCTGCTATCATGGTCTCTGGAAAGCATACGAGACTGGAATAACTTTACCCAGGTCACTCATTCATCCCAGGTATTGGCTCGCCGGCCATGTGCATAGACCTCGAGAATGGGCGCCGTCATGGTCAATCACACAGCTTATTATCTCACCAAAGCGAGCCAAGCTAGAAAGCGCGCTTCAGAAGCTCGTACAGCTACGCGATGGGTTCAACGGTGAGAACAGGAGCAGATTCAAGCAGCAACTACATGCGCTGGCGGGAAAGGGGGGAGGCAATTGCCTCTAATCGTAGGGCAATTGCGGCGCTTCCCATATCTGCACCGGAAGTGCTACTAAACCGTCGGGCAATTGGTGGACGAGAAGCCACAAAAACGGACGACTACTTACCGCCTTGGAATAACAGGCACGCGATTCACATTGGGTGTAGCGAGAAGCGAATACGCAGGCTAGAGACGACATGATCCTAGCACAGTGACGGCTAACCTAGGGCACTATCGTCGTGAATATTGATCAGGGCAACACTCAGCTTACGGTGACGGTGTCATCATTATCTGAGGCTAACTCCGAGGCATCTGGGAGTCGTCACGGTCTCAATCTGAACCACTAGTTCTGCAACAAGTGCCCCTAGCGATCACTGGTGAAATCAGCAGCAAGCGACGGCGAGTTCAAAGAGGATACTACGCATCGGCAATGGACGATGACTCACAAGACATGAGGCGAAGGAGATAGAAATTTTGTCAAATGGTTGTATAATGAAACAGTCAAGTGTAACAGTGTTAAAAGTATGCTTAATTTGAGAGATATCTGAGAAAGACAAGAGCAAGATGACAATTGAGTCTGCTACTTATAAGCTGTGTGGTACCAGACGGTTCGTTGCTCAGCCACTGTGAAGAATGAGTGTGTGGCCCAAATGAGTGTCGAGGTGAATGTCCCGATCATCACTCGCGCAAGTAGGTGGTAACTTCGTTGGTAGCGTAGGCGAATTTGCATTGCATACCACTACCTGATATCTTTTAATTTACTTGAATGGGTCTATTATTCCTGTAATTACTAGCACCTTTTATCCGATATAATTATTAAGCCGCCCGTGGGGTTACTTTACGCGTGGACGATTTAAAGAATCGGCTGATATGCGATGATCCTTTTTAAGGATTGTGTGCGTAAAATAAGCTGGCGGTAACCAACTCTACTGCAATTGCATTTTCACGTTTTCAGTAGGGCTCCGGTGATATATGGGTGAGCACTATGGTATATAAGACCCCCTAAAATTTACTCTATACGTAGACTCTTAACTTTTAACACAGATGATTGGATTGATCTAAGTTCACCGTTTAGATAACCCCTAGTGTACCTTCTAACGTAAATCCTGACTGGTTTCATTCCCTAGAAGCTCTAGTCGTTACACCGTACCCGTACCCGTCTGCGAATTTCACCAAGTCCCCACCACACAACTTGTCACACACAATCTCAAGACCGAACACAGATTGTTGTTTCTTTATTCTTTCCACCGCGGAGTGGCTTCCCACAGCAGGCCTGTCCCGCAGTCTCATGCCTTCGCCCTGTGGCTTGGTCGTAACATATAACATGATGCCATATCGCCGGGTGCGTAGTCCAATCTATGGTGTAAGGGGAGCGGTACAATAGTATTGAGTGTGAGAGTCCAGTGTATTTTTGAGAAACAAGTTGTCTCCTGGACAGTGGTTACAGTTCCAGTAGTTACCACCTTGGGCGACTAGCTTAGAAGTGGCTTGAAAGCCCTGACACGACCGGGCTGAAGACATTGGAAAGACTGCCCTGGCCTTTTCGTCCACATCTGTACAAATGCAAACACCGCCGTCCTGGCTGATCCCATCTAATTCAGGACATTTTGCACCGAGTTCAGTAGCTACTTCGCCGCATACTATGCTATGCGCCAGAGCAACTTTGGTTTCGAGTTCGGCTAGGCGTTGGTCTGACACTGCCAAAGCTCGACTAAGACAGACTAGCAGAATAGGCAGCTTAGTAGCCTGGGTGTCAGAAGAGAACAGACGCATAGTGAGATAAAGAGAAGAAAAAAATCTTATAGTAAAGAAAAGCTGGGAGATGGCAGAGAATATCTCAGAGTTGGAGTTTCTTAGCATCTAAATTGGTTGCAGCCGCTCTTATTTATAGAAGGCGGAGTGTAGGCTCGAATAAGTTAACGGAAAGAACGGAACTGCTACTTCAATTCCGAGGTCCAGACCCAACTAAACAATAATAACGTAACACAGCCGCTTTGCGCTTGCCAATGCTCATGTTCTCGTCGCAACGAGCCAGTGGACATCGGAGGACCTAGGGAATTAGACGCTAATGTGGCTAGACCGCTAGAAGATGAAAGCAGAGAGAGAAATCAGTGCATGCAGCAAGGATGCGGTGGAGTGTTGGCTTGGATGGCCGGTCGACAACCTCAGTAAAGTGGCATCTTGTTCCCTTGGGTCCAGATGTATTTAAGTGCAAGCGAAGGATATTTTTACTTTTGAAATTATGTTGGCATTTAGTTAACCATGGTACATGCAGCCAACAGGTTCCTTCTGATGCTAGGATCATGCAAAAAGTAGGGCCCAGGCCATGCATTATCTATCTCGCAGAAGTTCAGCCCCTTTTAATCTTTCACAGCTCTCTCGTGCGGCTTCCTCAAATTTATCTATTTCAAATAAGTACGTGGTGACAATATGTCAAATATGAACAGGCTCACGATCGGTCGTGCCATCCATCGCTAGAACGCCTGTAAATGCCCGGCACTGCCAAGCCGCTGTCCATACGGC